GCGGCTCCCACACTGAAACGAACAATCAGGTTACATTCAGGATAATCAGGTTAGCTGAAATATCCTCTTTAACCAACCTCCTGCTTTCGATCTTTCTCGGTAATTTAAAGGAGCTCCTGCTGAGCCAGGTTAGATCTGTAACCTGCATGTTCTGGGTCTACTCTCTCTGGGTTCCCTTTCCAGTTTCCTGAAATCACTGCACAGGGAGGGAGGCTTGGCGTTAAGGATGGATGGATTGGGCGTCACCATCTCAGCTGGTTCTCTGCAATGCAATACGGCAGTCATTATGTTCTGAGCTCCTCTGAATGTTCAGGGACCCTCATCCCGTCCTCTAAGCTCAGACGCCCGGCCTGGGAATCCCTCGTGTCTCTGTTTTCATCACCGCCGTGAAGAGTAAGATGGGAGATCACATTGCAAAATGACAGTGTCACCTTCCCATTCAGATCGCTCTCACTGGTAGTAATAGTAGGTCTGCCGTGGTAGCAGCATCTCAGTTTGAGTTCATAGCTCGACGGATTTAACAGATTGCAAAATTGTACACTGCGCTTACACATTTAGTCTATGATCACAAACTGGATAGGTCACAACCTTGAAAACAACCACAAGAAAACGTATGTTAAATGTAAGTGCGCGGCTCTGAGGAGTCTTCGCCATGCTTCTGTCGGGCTGAATGGACAAATTCCCATGACCTCTCTACTATACATGCAAGAGCTGGCTCACTGTTCCACAACCACAAAGGAGTCTGCACTACTACTACTAGTCCTAAATGTGAGGTTCAGGAGTCGGTCAGTGCCTCCCAGCAGCAGCTTTCCTAGAGAGGCTTATGCCAGTAAAATATGAATGACAAATGCTTCATAGTGGAGAATACAGTCTATTACATGCGTCACAGTCCGCCTGGCTCGCTCGGCTCTGCGATGCTGTGAGGACCGGCCTGAAAGTGACTGACTGCTATTGATGGAACAAGCGGATGGGACAGTGAAGGTAATCTCACAGGTGTACATGCAGACTTTTAATAAGGACTTTTACAGACATCATTTGGGTTTGCTGCTTGTGCACGACTTCCTGTGGGAAAGCATACTTTGTATGACAAGACAGAAGTTGAGTGTATATCCAGGGTTTAGAATTAAGCCATGCTGCTAGCCACTTGCTTCATTTTTTTTTGTCTCAGCCTCTTTCAAGCTTTAGTAAATCTGGCACTAACTAGGCTTGTACATCCCTTCGACTGCCTCGTCCAAGTAAAGCCAAGCTAAAACTAGGTATGACAGGCTGTCTGTGCCAAAGTCAGAGCCTGCCAGTCAGGTGTCCTGACGCACCTTCTGCCCGGTCGCGCTGTCAGAGGGCGAGACAGCGAAGGAACATTAACTCAGGAAAGTAATTTCATCTCTTCATTCGCCCCCTTTCTTCTGCTTGTTTCTTCTCATCTATTCTTCTTTAATGCGTCGTATTGAAAGGTGCAGTCACAGCTACTTTTCTAGTTCTTTAGGCCATAAATCTCCTTGCTGTCCAAAAAAATTAAAGGGATAGCAGTTAAGTACACTGATGCACTTTGCAGGTGTTTTTCTTCATCACTCTGAACCCGGCTCCTCCACAGTCCAAGTGTCCTTGGGCAAGACACTGAACCCGAAGTTGCTCCCGATGGCGGGCAGCAGCTTGCATGGCAGCTCTGTGGCCACTGGTGTATGAATGTGTGTGAATGGGTGAATGAGAAACACATTGTAAAGCAGTTTGGGTAAAAGCGCTTTATAACCATCTACCATTTATAACAGGGACTGTAGTTTCTTCTGACTCAGTTTTACATCTTCCCATCTGCAACCGTAAAGGCTCACCAGTTCACTAAACGTGTATTTGTCCGCGAAAATACCTCCGGTTGAGTTATGTTGCTAAGATTTACGATGCTTAGCTGTTTAAGGTAAAGCTTATATCTATGTATTGTCATCAGGTCCAAATGGGCTGATTGCCACATGAAGAGTAAAGTTCTAGCAGCTGTCGGGCTGCCACCAACCATTATTTCTATCAAATCATCTATTGATTTTTTTTTCTTCTATTAATCCAAACAATGCATTTTCATCTACAAAAGCAAAGTGACCATTTCGTCCAAGCTCATTATATTTTGTAGGTTTAAATTGGCAACTCCAACAGGATAAAAATTATTATTATTATTGTTTCAGCTACTCACACTTTAAAAAGACATCAGAGCTGTTAAACCTTTTTACAATGTGAAAAAAGTTTGTTGTGCATATTAAGGACACAATGGATAATCACAAGCAAAGAGCACCGAGCACTACTTGTTTTGTCTTTTTTTCTTTATTGGTTTTTTGTTGTGGTAGACGCTGGAAATTCTTAGAAAATACAGTTGAATTAACTTTAAAGGTTTAACAGGTTTGTCAGGTGGTGTTATGAAATCAGAATTTAGCCTCTTGGAAGTGACTGCTGCTTAACGTTTAGTCTTAATGGGCCATGTTTCAGTCAGTATTTTGTACTTGTTCTGGTGTCTAAGAACAGAAACACAAACATTTGCAAATGAAAACAGGCTAACTGGGAATTCGACTGTAGTATACGTGAACCCAGAGACCAGGAGAGAAGCAAACGGATGCCAAACGAAATGGCTCTTGTCTGATCTGTTAACATCTCTGTGCTGCTGGGATGCACCATGAAACTCAATCACAGAACGCCTTTTTGTTTTGGGATTATTTGAAGTCCTCCCATTGTTTGAAAACCTTTGAACCTCATCGGACTTTGCTGGCGCTATGGTGTGTAACTGTAGCGTTGACTGCAGCTGAACAATGAAGTCATGATGCAACAACTCACTATGGGCTGGAGTCTATCCCAGCTGACTCAGGGTGAAGGCAGGTTCACCTGGACAGGTAACCAGTCTATCACAGGGCTACACTTAGAGACAGACAACCAAGCACACTCACATTCACACCTACGGACAATTTACAATCACCAATTAACCTCAGCATGTTTCTGGACTGAGGGAGGAAGCCGGAGAACCCGGAGAGAACCCACGCTGCACGGGGAGAACATGGAGACTCCACGCAGGAAGATCCCGGGTGTCCTCACCGGGACGCGAACCAGCGACCTTCTAGCAGCGAGGCAACGGTGCTAACCACGATCCACCTGCAGCCCTGCAGAAAGACACGATATAGAGAATTGACGTAAAAAGAAGAACGTGTGTCGTTTAAACATATTGACTGACAATGATGTGATTGATCGTGATGGCTCTGAATAGCAGCCATATCTGTTACCTTAACCATGCAGACCTCCCCTTTGGTATTGGCTCCAACTTATTATGTGTTCAGCAGTGACCAGTGTGCTAAGGAGTCTTCCAGGACCTTTAGAAGTTTGTCAGGGCGGCACATTTTTCTTTGGCCTTTGTTGGTAGCTGATGCTACAAATCCAGTTCTGTCTTCTTTTGTCAAAACAAAACACTTTAACATGAAATGAAATCGCTCACCTCCTGCTCACCACATTAGGAGTAGATTGTTGCTGAGCTGATTTCTACAATTAAACGGCTCAGTAGCCAACGTGTTCGTACGTCTGGTTCTGTTTGACCTGCAGTGAGGAACTTTTGTCCCCCCCTTCTGGCGGCGGCAGTAATTACACAAACACTGTTAGCATATGCTTATGGCGTTTGTCTTTCTTTTACTAATCCTTGTAATCCTTCCTCTGAATGCTGGGTTCCTTTCGTAGGTTTTCACACCATGGGCTCCATCCTACTCCCAGCTGTTTGACTCCATCGGCTCCTGTCTTCAGCACTGGCAAACCGATCGTTGCTGGTTGGTTGGTTTAACAAATTCCATCACAGGCAGCAGATTTAAACTTCCTGTAAAATGCAGCAAGATTCACATGTAGCTGATCAATCGGCATCGTGTTAGCTCGTTTGGTTAGGACTGTGCCAGATATGTTTGCTTCTATGTAAAAACCCCATACGTCAGCTTTAAGGTCGCCTTATCAGAGCGGGTAATAGAATTGTTACTGTTAGTCCTCGTTTTCACTTTTTCCGTTCCATCGTTTCACTTTCACACCCCTTTCGCACAAACACAATCGCTGCCTCTCCCTCGTCTTCTTCGCGCTCTCTCGCTCTCGGCTTTAGCGCTCTGCTCCTCCTCGCCTCCCCCCATCAACCCCTCCTCCACTTTCCTCTCACTCTGCATTAAGCCCTGCTTGTCTCTGTGCCTCTCTGATCCCGGGAGCGGCGCTTATGGGAGCTCCTCAGACCAGTGTGAGCCCTGCTGGTCTCCAGTCGCCTTCGCAGCACTGCAAGTGGAAGAGGAGGAGGAGGGGGAGTATCCGTCCTCGCGCCCCAGGCGGGAGAGAGGAGCAGGGGAGAGGAAAGTAAGAAGTGAACATGCTAGAGATGCAGAGAGTCTTAATAAAGGGGGAATGAGACAGAGAGAGAGAGAGAGAGGAGATAATATGAGGGCAGGAGAGAAAAATAGAAAAACAGCCAGGAGTAGAGAAAGAGAGAGCGATAGGGTGGCACAGGGAGAACAGCAAACGAGTGAGCGAATTGGAAAGGAAGAGAGAGAGTGAGCAAGTGAGAGGGAGGGAGGCGAACAACACTGCAGACACTCGCCCACTGTCACTGCTCCACAGCCAGAGGACAGAGGCAGCAACGGCAACGGTGGGAGCGGATACGATGGAGCAGAGCGACTGTACCATCCATCTGCAGCTCAGTGGCCGCCGCTGACAGCCTCCCTCTGGGACCATCCGGCCAAGTTGGGACCAACACACACACACAACAACAAAAAAAAGAGGAAAACTACTCTCTCTGTCCTTCACCAGACCAAGTACTGGACCTCAACTCCTGCAGGACCGTCAGACCTCGTTGTTTTTTTCTCGTTTCTCACACTCCCATCCACTAAACTCACGCCCTCCCTCAAACTGAAGCGCACTTCCCTTCTCGTTGCCTTTTGGACTATTTTGTTCTTTTTCGTCATCGCCGCCTGCGCCGACCTTCCAAGCCGAGTGGATTTACTTTTATCCTGTGGCGGACCATGGGGCTGGGGTGGAGGGGTGCAGGAGGGACCCTCCGAAAAAGGACAGAGGAGAGCTGGTACCTTTTGGTGACATTGATGCTGTTGTGTGGTTTCCGGAAGGCTCACACGCAGACAGACGATGGGAAGTCTGTCTACTTCTGGGAAACAGGTACCGCTAAACCACTAATTAGAGATTAAATTTGATCCCCCCCCGCTTTACATATGGAGCGTTTATGACGGCCGGTAATGAATTAGCGCGTGCTGTTGTTGCAGCTATGGTATGTGACCTCCCACACTCTGAAGCTACAATCAGGCAGATCTGATCTCATGTGTGTTCCATTTGTTGTTTTTGGGGGGAAAATGTGACTTGAGCAGTTTACAGGAGCATAATAAATTAGTGCATCCAGGATTGAAAATTAAAGCCTCTTGGATCTGTCCTGACACAGATCTACAATGCTTCCAGATGACACACTTTGCTCGTCTCGTGAACGCGTTATTCGAGGTGTAGGACTCTGCCAAACTTCAAAGATCCATACACTTGAAAGATGACCCAGAAATCTACAGTGGAGCCGTCTCCTCACACTGAATAGCATGTGGCACGCAGGACGGCCGTGATCCATGTTTGAATGGATTACTTTCATCTCCCTGAGTCTCAGGTGATGCACCATTATTGAAATGTTGCTGCCGTGTGTTCCAGCATGCAGATGATTGATGGCCGCTGCCTCACAATAGTGCTTGTTGAGGGAAGCGCCGTGGTTTGATGGTATTGATGGCACATTGGAGCTGAATGTGTGTGTGTTTTATACATGTAGTAGACGTGCAGATTGATGGGGAGTTACAGCATATTTGATCCCTGCACATGCTTGCTTTATGCACTAAACGCCGCCATATTAAACTATCAGAGAGTCATAAAAAGTCGGTTGTCACAGTGAATTACGTTGCAGCGCTTGACATGCAAGGAAGCACACGGCTAATCATGGATGCCGGGCACCACTTTTCAGATTCCAGAGTACAGTTCTTGCAGCGAGCGCAGATTATCGCCGTGATGACTGCTAATGGACGCTTAGAAAATTAACCTTAGTGGTCTTCTTCGAATATTTAGTTAGTCCTTTACGGGCATAAATGAAACGGCACGTCCCTCTTGACTTGATTTAATTCTCAATTAGACAGAGAAGCTCAGGAGGTGACGGCGTGCTCTCTTCTCTCAAACTAACATTTTACCCCAAACTGTGTTTTCTCAGTTCCACTGCAACTTCTCGTCTCTCTCCAACCCCCAACTCAAACAGCCCCCACTCCACATGTCCTGCCCCGCCTTGCTCAGCACCAGTCCCCAGTTGACGTATCCCACGTCTTCTCTCCTGTGGTTCTGCATCTTTAAAGAGGATGTAGCTGAGTAAGGAGATTAAAGGAGCAGGGATTTAACAACCCAGGAAAGACAGCCCAGGGAACAGACTTGAGAAACGAAAGGCAGAGTGAGCACTGCAGGCGGAGAGAGGGACTAACTTAACCTACATCTACCCTACTGTAGGTCATAATGATTATGCCTCTCTCCCACGCTACACCACCTTTCTCCCACACTATACATGCTCCTCAACTGGAAAGCTCTAGGCTCTGCGCTTTGAAATGTAATCCAGTGTTGGGAGTTTGTTCACTTCTTCCCAAATAAAAGGTAGCGCATTGATTTCAGCCCTGGAGTCTTTTTTTTTTTTCTCTGCCTCTTTGGTTTGACAATTGCCTGAAGAGTATTAAAATCACATAGGGCAATTTACTGCTTTGAATCCCGGTGCTTTTCATCAAAATGTGATTATGTTTGTGCGAGATTTGCATACTTTTTCTCGCCAATGGAAGCTTGTTAAAAAAAAAAAAAAAAATACAAAACACCAAATGTGATGATGTTTGCGCACATTTGCAGCGTGTGCAGTGGAGGAAATATTCTTGTAGCGAAGCAATGCTCTGATGTTTTGCATATTGATGAGTCGAGCTGAAATACAGCCCCTGTCTTGGAAACTGTGGGGAATTGGGCCTGCATTGCTTTTATTGCCGTCTGTGAAAATATGATGTATCTGTTTTGGAAGGTGAGACAGTTCAGTGCTTCTTTTCTTTTTTTTTTTTGCTCTGAGAATACTATTCAAATGAGGCCGATGGAGACAACGGGCTCCGGCTGCCGGTGATATTTCTGAAGGTGGCGGTAGGATAACTGAAGAAAAAAAACGAGAATGATTACAGCCACCGTGAGGACGGCGGTGGCGATGATGATGGCGATAATGGCATGCCACAGTTTTGTGTTTTTTTTTTCCGGGGCTTTTGAGAGATCGCTGGGAGTTTGTCTTCCTCTCAGATGCTATTTTCACACCATTTTTCTTCTTGTCGCTTCCTCACAAGCGTGCACTCTCTCGGCACTTCTTCCCCGGCATCTTTATCATCACATCCCCGTCTAGCGCACACTCACACTATATTTTTGCATCGCTGTTTTAAGACCCACTGCTTTTTTTCTTTTTTTTTTCCCAATTAATGAAACACTAGAATATGATGAAATTCCAGAGAAACCTTTTCTGTTGCCAATACTCTGGAGGCAAAACCAGAATGTCAGTGGATCTAAGAAATACTGCTGTGCCCTGCGCAATAGAGAGCTGACACACACACACACACACACACACACACACACACACACACACACACACACACACACAGCAGGTGCATCTTGCCTGTTCTGGTGCTGTGTGCGTGCTTCATTAGACTCTGTTGTTGGAGTGACAAGGTTGCCAGGTTGGAGCTGTCAAGACCTCACATGTCTGCCCGAGGACAAAGCAATTACAGGTGGTGGAGTAGGTGAGGAGTCTTCAAGCAAATACATACAGTAATGACTCGATATCCTGGCTGTAAACGCTCCCTAAACACGTCGGGTTTATGTTTAGGTGAAATGTTAAATAAAAAAAAAAAACAGAACAAGGAGGAGATCTTGCTTTTTAAAAACGCTGGAAGGTGCAATCAACAGGTGCACATTAATGTGGGTCTCATCTGATATCCTGATCTAATCACTCTTTATCAACTCCAACCCTCCCCTAAATGCGGGCTCGTAATCTTTCCTGGGATCCAGATTATCTATCATTCAGATTACGCAGGAGCGCCCTTTCACCTCTGATCGAGTCAATCCAGATTCACCTGCCCTCTCACCTCATCAGGTCAAATCACGCTTTGGAGCACGTGCCTCTTGGCTGTAGGCCTGTTAAGCCACTGAGACATCAACTAATGACTCTCGCATATCGCTTACTTACCATTCATGTGTGGCTTTTGGTGCACTTTTGAGTTTGCAAAGTGGATGAAATGTACATCAGCCTCTGCAACGTTCGCTTTACTGATTTCTAACCAAGTTATAAGTTCACATGTCAGTTGTTTCTGAGCGACTGTATAAGGGAGGAGAATTTTTAAAAACTCTCCGGCGGTGAAAATCAGGTTTTGTATCCTGTCCAAACAGTGTTTTTTATTTGCTGGAAGACAGACCACAAGCAACATGGCTAAGCATGTTCACCTTGGTGGAGAGAAAGGCGGTCAGGAAGGAATTATTTTAATGGGAAAAAACATAGATATCTAGCTTAGATACACAGGGTGTGTTTTTTTAAATCTAAAAAACATGCTTGGCAGACAGGTTTTATGAGCTAAGTGTGTGTCAGAGTGTTTGTGTGTTGGTCTGTACATATGTCAGCCCTAATGGTCTGTCTTCGTCCAGAAACAATGGAGTCTGGTCCCACATAGTATCATACGATGGGGACCGCTGCAGCTTTCTGCCCCATGAATGCGCTGCTGTGTGTCACCGCATGCCGCTGATGTCACCTTTCAATGCACTAGGCCAGGGTGACTAGTGGTGACAGGCCATTGTTAGCCGAATACATTCCTTCTTTTATAGAGGCACTAGCAGTGAAGGATGTCAGCCTCGCTGAGGGTTGTTAGTGACTTTCCTGCAATCACCTGCTATTACGGCGGACCCACTGAAGAGGCCATCCTGGAAATTGAAGGAGAGCCGGTGTGACGGGTTCACAAGTTCAGTACGGCAAGTCAAGGTCATTACATGGCAAAGTGCCCACGGCCAAACTGATTGTCGTAACCAAACGCTAAACTAGCTGAGTTCAATCGACGAAACCTTCAGATAGATGGAAACGGGTTTAACGATGAACTAATTAAGCACAAAGTTCTTTCTTTTGTCTTAATTTCTGTTCAAGAGCCAAATTATGTATATTTACAGGTTCAGGATTCATTTGTTTTTTGGCATCCATCCATCAGCTATACACCGCTTAGTCCTCATTGGCTAAAGTCCATCCCAGCTGACTCAGGGTGAAGGCAGGTTCACCTGGACAGGTAACCAGTCTATCACAGGGCTACACTTAGAGACAGACAACCAAGAGCAGGTTGTCCTCCATTCGTAAGGTTGGCGGTTCGATCAAACAGTCGAAGTGTCCTTGGGCAAGACACTGAACCTGAAGTTGCTCCTAATGGCAGGCAGCACCTTGCATGGCGTATGAATGTGTGTGTGAGTGGGTGAAAGAGAAATATGTTGTAAAACGCTTTGGGTTAAAGCGCTATATAAGTGCAGGCCACTCACATTCACACCTACGGACAATTTAGAGTCACCAATTAACCTCAGCATGTTTCTGGACTGTGGGAGGAAGCCGGAGAACCCGGAGAGAACCCACGCTGCACGGGGAGAACATGGAGACTCCACACAGGAAGATCCCGGGTGTCTTCTACCTTCTAGCTGTGAGGCGACGGTGCTCACCACTGATCCACCTTGCAGCAGAATATGTTTACATACTTTATTGATGAGAAATGTATTATGTTTCTGTACGTTGCTGCAGCATCTCTTCTCGCCCTCATGTCTCCTTAAGGCCTCCTTCCTGATGAGCTCAGTCTGCTCTGATTGGTCACCTGGCCTGAAGAAAGCGAGGTAATGCTGGTTCTGTACCATTGCTAGTCATTGTGCAGATGCTCCATGGTGAAGTAGATAAGTAACGGATATTTAAAAGCCGTGCAGTTCCAACCTTCACCTGTGCTCATGACCTCTGAGTCGTGTTTTAAGGAATGAGATCACAGAATGGTTTTTCTCTGAAGCGTGGCTTGGCTCAGCCTTCAGGTACACGTCCACAGGATCTGTCTCTTTAGTGCTTCGTACTTGTT